GCTGATGGTCTCTCTAAAAGCCTGTTAACCTTATTGTAATATAATTTCTTCTTCTTTTTCTTTTAAACCATTTTACAGTCTGAAGGGATAATTATAGAAAGTTCTGATATTAACAGGAGGTGCTTTAATGGAGCAAACTTATTATCCTGCTGGACATGGTCAGCAAGCTGATATGCTCCGTTGATACTAAGACATCTAATGTTTTCCAATCTTCTGTAGCCCCAATTTCCTGTTATTAGCTAACAGGAGCGCCACTGATGTGTTCTTGTGCTGCTGTAGCCCATCTGCTTCAAGGTTCGACAAGCGTTTAGCGATCCTCTTCTGCTTTGCTTGGTTGTTGGAGTGTCTGTTGCCTTCCCATCAGTTCAGAGCAGTGTAGCCATTCTCCTCTGACCTCTGGCAGCAACAAGGCATTTTCATCCAATGAACTGTCGATTACTGGATACTAGCTCTTTTTCAGACCTTTCAGAGACGGCTGTGCAGGAAAGTCCCAGTAGATCAGCCTTTTCTGAAGCACTCAGACCAGCTTGCCTGGGACCAACAACCACGCCACATTCATGGATCTTTCTTCCCCATTACGATGCTCGGTTTGAACTTCAGCAGGTCATCTTGACCATTTACGTATGCCTAAATGCACTAAGTTGTTCCCACTGAGTTGGCAGATCACTCCTTTGTTTCAACAAGCATGCACCTAAAAAAAGTTGGCAGTGAGTGTATACACAGTAAAGTTGTAGCATTTTGCAGCTGCAAAATCTAACTCTGAATATGTACACGGTGCGACGCATCCCTTTGACCTGACTGATCCCATGTGCCTTTTAGTGTTTCATGAATAGGTCACTTCCCCTATGTATCTTTAAAGAAGATTTACCAGCTGCAATGCAATGAATAATGCACATGCACAACTGCAAGCTAGTGGTTTGGTTATCAAGCAGCTGATATGAACCAAGGGCATTAATCTCCAGGTTTTTGCTCAAAATCCACATTTTCAGTCTCGGCTGTGGAAAGTAAGTAAGTAGTCCACTTGATTTATGCTGATTGCAGATGCTCTTCTCATTTAAAGAATTGCTAACTTCTGCCTGAAACCACCAAGTGAAATGATAACAACAGCACTCTGCAGATAGCCAGTAAAACTGGAGCGCTGCATCAGGCAGTGAACCTCACACATTAGATTTGTGCCACCAGCTTTCGCTGCCTGAAAATTTGGTCATATGTGTTGTTTACCCACACTTGAGGCACCTAATATTGAAGGTGTGGAACTAGCCCCCACAGCCAGCGTACCACTAAAGCATCACTTTATCTTACTGCCAATAGGTGGCCCTGTGGTTCACTTTCCCCAAATGACTTGTCACTTTTTGATGTAAGGAAGCTTTATTAAGAAAGAGTCAAAGGGGGCAAAATGTAATGGCAGAGAGAAGAGTCTGTGTGGGAGGGGCGATTGGTGTTAGGTTGTTGATTGGCGCTCCCTGGGGCGCAATGATGAAGGAAACCTCTGAAGGAGAAATGGGAAAAAGGTTTCTTGAATCAATATCATCTAAGAGAGGTTTGCATACAAAGTGGGGCCCAAGATGGCAGAGATCCTAATAAAAGCTAATGCAGTCTTTTATAAAGAAAAACCAAGTTAAGACTGAATGCTGAACATTCCACAATTAGTTTGCACAAAATCAAAGCTTTTACTTATTTTATCAGTGGCAGCTTGTGACTCAGCATTATTAGTGAACAGGCAAAAGATGTAAAACGCATCCTGGAGCCCAGTTTTATTTCTTATTTAGTTTATTTATTTCCCCATTTTGCTGCGGGTTTACTGAGCTGTAGGAGTCGAGTCACTAAATTCAGAACTGAATGTGCGCAATTGTTTTTGTCTTTGTGTTGGTTTGTTTTCCTGTTATCTATTTGTTATTCTGACAGTAAACCAAACTGTGTCTCAGAAAATGAAAATGGGTTTTATGTATGGAGTAATAACCTAAATGGATTTCCCTCTCTCCCTCTCTCTGTCTGTCTCTTTCTCTGCACCGCTCCGGGAGCCTGTGGCTATTTATCTGCCTGTGTCTAATTATTCATTAGTGAACACAGAACAAAGCACAGAAAATATAGTTGTGCGCTCAGTGTAGCAAACCAGCTTTCTCTACAAACTGATGCTCCCGCTTTCTGTTTTTCATCCATCTCCAACTTCTTGGTGTCCATTTGAGCTGAATTTTCACACGCTGTGGCCGTGCATCTAAAAACTGCAGCAAATCTCCATGTTGCAGATGAAGAACAGATGCAGGGCTCTGTAATAAAATCAACCATGAACTATCACTCAGTATGACCATCCTACTACTGTTTTCTCTGTGAATAATATTTGTACCACTTTGGCACTTTTTATAACTCACAAAATAAGCTACAAAAAGTCATATATTCAGATTTTGCAGAATTAAAATGTTTTTACTCAATGCATTGCACAAATGGGCAGCAGAGGACGCTGTAGCGTTCCAAGAAAGAGAAGAAAATCAAAGCCACTACATAACTTGTGTTACATATAAACATACACATGCGCAAATACACGTGTCAGGATTTGTTTAAGTCCAAAAAGAAGAAAAAAAGCATGAAAAGAGCACTGGAAAATAAAATCATCTCTTTAATATTCTAGATCAGGGGTAGGTAACTCCAGGTGTCGAGGGCTGTTGTCCTGCAGGTTTTAGATCTCACCCCGGGTCAACACACCTGAATCAAATGATTAGTTCATTACCAGGCCTCTGGAGAACCTCAACACATGTTGGAGAGGTCATTTAGCCATTTGAATCAGCTGTGTTGGATTAAAGGCACATCTAAAACCTGCAGGACACCAGCACTTGAGGCCTGGAGTTGCCTACCCCTGTTCTAGATTTTGAAGCAACATCCCATTAAAGCGGGGGCAGGGGAACTCCAGGCCTCGAGGCCCGGTGTCCTGCAGGTTTTAGATGTGCCTTTAATCCAACACAGCTGATTCAAATGGCTAAATGACCTCTCCAACATGTGTTGAGGTTCTCCAGAGGCCTGGTAATGAACTAATCATTTGATTCAGGTGTGTTGACCCGGGGTAATATCTAAAACCTTCAGGACACCGGCCCTTGAGGCCTGGAGTTCCCCACCCCTGCATTAAAGCATGCAGGTGTAGGGCTGCGAAATATTGGACTTTATAGACTGCCTGTCAGGAGCAGTCTGTTATAGCGGCACTGCAGAAGCTATTTGTTAGACAATCCTGTCATCTAGTGGTGCTGTCTGTGTTATACACACCAGCTTTGATGTGAAATGATTTAAGTGCTCATCCACCATTCAAAAGCCTTGACAGCACGACGGCCTGTTTGATGGTGAGGTTTCATTGATCTGTTTGAAACTATTACAACTCTATTTGATTTCTTCAGACTCTTGGAATAAAAACAAGCTTTTACTTGTTTTCATCTTTGGGAATTTCTTCCACATTTGCTTCCCTGCTGTCTGAAATGACTTTTACTGGTCCTGTTGTCTCAGGTGATTACACCCAAAACATCGCATCACTCACACGATGTGTAAAAAATGACAGAAGCGCCCGATTTTAAGCCTCTCCAACATGTCACAAAAATAATGTTAATACGGGCTGAGAACAACTTCCAGTTTCGCATTTTTACTGTTCCCAGAACCAGTCCTTACCTTCCCTCTCACCTGCAGCACTGTCAGGCACACGATGGGATCTTACCAGTGCTCAGCCAATGAGCATCACGCATTTCACCGGCTCTGGTCTGCAACAAAAGTTGGGGGGACGGGGCTTGCTACTAACACATGGTGGCCGGTAGATGGCGCCATTGCTGTTTGAAAATTCTTCTTCTCTGTGGCGGCAGTGAAATCCCTGAATGAGTGAAGTAATTGTCCACTGAGGCGTGATCCATTCCAACCACAGACAAACGAAGGCCCGCCGCTCTGCATGATAACGTTATTTTAACAGCTGGGGGAAGGATTTAGAATTGATACGTGCACTGCTAAAAAAATAATAAAATAAAATAAAAAATGGTTATTATTATTATTATTATTATTATTATTATTATAACCATGAATGAGAGGCTCATCATGAGAGGATTTGGATATTAAATTATGCAAAGTCATACTGTTTCAAAAAATAATAATAATAATAATATAAGAGTAAAGAAAGCATTACTTGTTCATAAACGTTTAATTTGTTTCACCTTCTTCTCCAGTTACAGTCATAAACTTTACACTTTTTTCTTCTTGTGTGCGATTTCACGGCAATTGTGACGTTACGCAGTCATGCAACTGTTTCACCTACAGAGTTAATCTGCATAGTCACCTTAACAAATGTAGTTTGGAAAATGTAACTGTCACTATTTTATACAACACGCTGATTTAATGAAGGGAACGTTACTGTAAACCAACTATAGGAACCTTCGGGTGTCCACCAGCTGAATCTGACCTGCTGGCGCGTTACAGAAGCATATAATCTCATACCAGTAACAATAATACTTTTTGTTCTCCTGTACAGCTACTTATTGATCAAAGCTTCGCTCTACATGTACTTGAAACTATGCTGGTGGCTGTAGTAATATCGGGCAAACTATATAAGAGCGAGAAGAAAAAACATCTGTGTCTGACCCTGAGTGAACCAGAAGAGTCAAAACCCCAAAGGAGTTAGTTTATTAAATGTTTTATTATAGTGGGAATATTGGCTATTTGTGTCAAGTCAGATGTGTGCGTGTTGTGAGCCAGATTGGCACTGACTGGATTATAAATATAAAATATTCTGTCTGCTTTGTAAGATTCTGTAGAAAATGTCCTTTTTTTCTTGTTAAAAAAAAGAAGTAGAATGTACTGTTATATTTGTCATTTTTAACCCTGCTATCTATCCAGATGAAATGCCTTGGATTTGCTGTAAATTGATAGCATTCTGTGTCCTTTCCATATCAGAATATCTGGGGTGACCTTTGCAGAATAAATAGATTTTACGCAGGAAAGGTTTATCCGTGAAAGCATCATTAATAAGTGTGATGTTCCACTTGTTTAAAATAACATTTATTTTTTTTCCAGCGTTTTGATACATTGTGACAGCACAGCGTGTAACATCTGAGGAGGAACTAACTGAATCCAACACTTTGTCACAAAATATTTGCGCTGACTAATGGATAAATGAAAAGTCAAATATAGGCATAGTGATTTCATATTACCAAATGCAATATATAATACAGGCAGTTGGACATAAACTAAAGACAAAATGAAATACAAAGGTGAGATAACTGAAATAATACATAAGAAAAAGAAACATGAATGGCATTTACACGTTATAGATCAACTTTTACAGCAGGAAACGGGGTTAACAAGTAAACTACGTGTTTTAATAACTTATTTTACTCGTGCGTGTGTGCGCGCGCGCGCGTGTATGTGGTAAAATTTGATAGGCTCTAAAAAGTCAGAACTCTTTGATAAATAATTTCTTCGTACTTCGTACTTTTGCTTTTGTGTGTCAGTTTAGTTTTTACTCTTCCAGCCTGATCGGGATTCATTTCATTCTGCAGTCTATAAATACATTCGGTTTTACGTCATTTTACTGATGGCGTAGTAAAGTTCAAACATAGGGGTTGCCATTCAAACTTTTGTGGTCTAACATATAAAATTATTTTGGAGAGTTACGTGGTTTAGTTTCTTTTCTTCTTTTTTTTCTTTTTTTTTTTTTAAATCCCTCTCAGATCATTTGACTACAAGCCAGATAATCCTATTATGTACAGCAGCCCGTAGCCAGAACACATCACACATTTTCAACACTTGTGGCTACAAATACAATGGAATGTGTCTCTATGATCAGTCCACCGGCTTCACTGTTTCTCCGGCGTGTTGTTGACCAAAGGCCCATACAGGCCGCTGGCATAGCCTTGCTCCTTGTGCAGCATTGTCCTGTCTCTTATCAGGTCGCTAAATGCATAGTCCATTGGAGGTCTGAAGCCCAAAGTGGGCATGAGCCCGGTGGTGGAGTAAGGTGTCATGAAAGCCAGTCCCCGGCTGTGCGCCGAGTAGGCCAGCCGCAGCGGGTTCAGTCCCAAGTGTGTGCCCAGCGGGTAGGTGCTAGGGTCTGCGCCAAAGTGCGGTGCGTTTGGCTGCAGAGGAGAAAACGCAGAGCGGTTGCTGAGCGTCATAGCCCCGGGGAGCATGGGCCTCGTCGGGGCTGTTGTGGTTGCGGATGCCGCCGGAGGCTGCTGCGCATTTTGGAGCATCCTCTCTGCCGTCCACGTCTCGTCTGGCCCGGCCTTGTTGGGGCCCTGAGCGCCGCTGTTGTTGAGGATCTGCTCGATGGCCTGCACCACATCTTTGCCACAGCCCTGCAGGACGAGCTCCAGGACGCTTCGCTTGTGGCTGGGAAATACTCGGGTGAGGATGTCGATGGCGTTCATGTGCCGAGAGGCCGCAGAGGAAGGGGAAGGCTCCTGCTCGTCTTTGTCGGTCTCAGAACCCGAATCCGAGCCGATGGAGCTGACGGACCCTGGAGTTTCTTCTCCGTCTTTCAAAGGCTTGGATACCGGTGAGCTGATGAAAGACTCGCTATCCCCGTTCTCCGAACCAGAGCCTTCGTGGCGGCCGTCCGGGGACGAGATGCCGGGGGCTGAGTCACCTTCGGTGGAAGCCGGTTTCCCCGCAGATGGTTGAGGTGTGGCGGACCCGGAGAGCTGGTTCTTAGGAAACAGCTCATACTTCTGGATGCTTGAATCTGCTGACAGAACCAGAGTGTGTAAGATTGAATGAAAGCATAAAACAGAAGGCCATCAAAAGCGTATCAACACAGAGTCATAATCAGTACAACAATCACATCAATAAAGAGGCAGTAAAGCGACAGACATACCAGTATTCAAACAGCAGATTTAACACGTGAGCTCAAATATCAGAATTTAATCTGTAAAGGTTAAACAAACATCATCAGCATTTATGCTGTGACAGCTGATTAGGCTCAATGTTTAGGGTTAAATGATTCTGCGTTTAACAGAGTCGCAGTTTGATGACAGATAAAGCCTTTTAGTTTAACACACTGATTTGCTACCTTCTCACGCGCTTCTTAAACATTACAGCGAAGCTTGATCCGCTCACCTGAGTTGCTTTCGCTGCTGACGGAACCAAACACTTCGTAGTTCGGCCGGGGTGGGATGATGCCGTTGGCGGCGGCGATAGCGAGTCCTTCCGCCGTGCCATAGAGCAGCTGCAGCTCCCGGGCTTCGTTCTCCTCCTGCGCCTGCTGCCGCCGGAGCGCCACCTGAGCCGCCATCACCCGCTGCCTCTCTGCGATCAAGGTGCACTTGGCGCACATGCAGTCCTTCCAGCGGCAGTAGCGCTTGTGGCCCTTCAGCGCGGACACCACGCCGTGGTTCCTGCAGCGGGCGCACTTCGGAGTGCGCGGGTACTTGTCTGCGGCCCGCAGGAGGATCGGGGGCCCTCGCAGCAGGTTACCGGCCATGGACACCGGAATGGAGGCTGCCGCGGCCGCTGCCGCCGCTCCGGGGTGGATTTGTGAGGCGGAGGAGGCTGTGGGGAGCTCCGGTCTCAGATCCATGCCCGCGTTCCTCACCAGCAAAACTAACGTTTTAACGAGAAATCGGCGACGTTTGAACGATCTGCTTTAGTTAAACCGACGTTGGACTGATCACATCTGTCCGGCGGTTCTTAGCACCTCCGGGCAACAGGTGAAGCCACCGATTTCTGCTGTCAGACAGAAACAGGAGGGGAAAAAAATAACAATTTATGATCGAAAGTCTGGTGGAAACTGTCCAAGTGTTCTCTGCCGAAGAAGCAAAAATCTGACTTTAAAGTCAACTTTAAATCCGACAAGAGTCTGAGCAGAGAGGAGCGATCATTCCTCCCCGACAGAAAGTTCAAACTGTCCAGGAGGAGCTGAGGTTGTTACTCGCCGCAGCCTGAGACACTAACTTCCTCCAGAGATTGTCAGTGGATACAGATCCCTCTCTCCTCTCTCTATTGTTGCTCCTACGTTTTCATTAGACAAATTTGACAACAATGTGGCGTCTGTCATTGGCCAAAGGGGGAAGGAGCAATCTGATTGGCTTGCCTCTTTTTTCAACTGTGTCCACCTGAGTTCTTTTTTCCAAATATCAAGTGTTAAGAATCTGAAGGGAGTTCCCGGAAAGCTCAAATCGATGCAGTGTATTACGCCCAAAACAGAATTTCATAGATTTAAAACAATAGCCCGTGTTTTTTTCCATTATTGTGGTAAACCAGACTTCCGGTGCGATGCCAAACAGGACAATTAGAAATGTAATGAAAAAAAAAACCTAAAATGAAGGAAATTTTCAAACGTTCCAGGAAGTTTCTGTATATATCTCGATTTTAAAAACTAGTTTAACTTGGCGACATGATTGTTAGGATATGAAATCGCTATTCCTGCATCTACATCCAATCGCAGAATATTTTTAAGACTTAAAATACTCAAAATAAAAGATGATGCGTGACTGTAATCTCATCCGTAAAGGTAAGTATCATTTATTTCATTGGTTCAAAAAGAGGCAAGATTTTTCTCTGTCGACACACAATATATATTTTTTCGTAATATATTTGCTACAGAAAGTGGAAGAAGCTGTCGATGCTGCTAAATGTCGCGGGAAAACCAGAGCGTTCACATTAATGTCAACGCCAAGCTTTAAATATTTGTTTCGCACATGATCCGTTTAAAAGTTAAAAAGTACAGAAAATGTGCCACTTTTTGTTTCATCCATATACTGCGGACTGCATGAATATGTTGTTCTCTGCTTGGTGATTTAAACACGCGAGTTAGACCAGTTTTCATCCGAATTTCGTTTTTTGTCTTTTTTTCCTCCACATTTGAAGCTTGAAACGGTAACATAAATTATTAATGACGACTTTGGTTCTATATTAGGTGTTTCTCTTTTAGTTATTGAAATAATAATAATAATAATAATAATAATAATAATCAAAATAATAATAATTTTTAAATAGTGTTTTCTTTTTTTAGGTTCCACAATTTCGTTTGCTCTGATTTTGTTCACCTCATATATAAAAAAAAATTTTTCGTTTATTTCAGCATTTTTTTTTTTAAAAAAAATTGCATTTAAAAAAAGTAGTTGTTTATTTATTGCAAAAGCATTTTGATTAGATAATAAAAAGTAAGTAATCGCTGGGTAAAATTTTTAACATTAGTTTATCATTCATAGCTCGGCGAGTTTTAAAAATAAAATACTACCTGAACGGATATTATAATAATAATAATAATAATAATATTAATAATAATAATAATAATGATAATAATAATAATAATATTATTATTATTATTATTATTATTATTATTATTAATAATAATAATAATAATATTAATAATAATAATAATAATGACAGTAGTATTGATAACGCTTAAAGACAGAAGAGCGGCTTTCCGTTTTAATTCTTTGCTCTGCTCCTTCTATGAACCGGGGAAAAATAAAATAAAATAAAAACTGGATTAACAAATTGCTTCCGCCCTCCTCTGTTGTCCTCCATAAAATAAGCGCTCTCCTTTGGGTTCTGCTTTGTCCTCCAGTCACCCTCCATTACCTGAAAAGCGATAACGCTCTAATGCTTCCTGAGATTTAAGAAGTCCGCCGCGCACAGAGCTACAAAAAGGGCATCGCGCGCAAGCCACCTGCTCCCTCACCTGTTCACTGATGATTCGTGCAGCTACTGGAACTCGGATTTTTTGAAAGTTATAGCTCTGATGGTTTAGTTCTGCTTTTTTTCCCCCTTTTCTTTCATCAACAATTGCTTGCACCTTAGAGGCCGACAACAGTCTTTGTGATCCACAACAACATCTTTAGCTGGAAGAAATGGTTGCTCGGTGTGCAGCAGCGAGTGTGTGCAGCCCTTCCTCTCTCTCCCCTCCCAGGCTCATTGTTTACTTTCTGAATCACTGTAAGCAAATGCCATCTGTTTCCCTCGCCGCTGTCATCTGCACCTTAATTACCTAGCCAACAGGCTAATAGAGACGATATTAAAACTACATCTTTTTGACATTCAAAGTAATTATCTGCATGGGCGACGATCTTACTCGGATAAAAATTGCCCGTCCTGCACGCAAGTGAAAGTTGCACACAGCAGAAAGGGCCTGATGCTCACAGGAGAGATTATGGGCCTACAGCCTCACCTCAGGATGGCTGATTTAAAACTGCGCATTCAGAGTACAGCCAGGCAAACAGGAAGGTTTCCACATCAGCTTCTCTTATTACGCGCAATTTTCACTCTTAATAACAGTAGAAATAAAGTGACAATTACTTGGACTTGACACGTGTTTGCTGAGCTATATTTATCCAGGAGGAGCTCATAAGGCTTCTCTGCTGTTTTAATATCGTCGCAAGACTTTTAATTACGTCATTGCCGCCTCTGGTTGAAGTTACCGCTCATTTCTCGTCCACGTCAAGTTTGGTTTAAGTTCATTTGTGGAAAAATATGTATTATGATTAGGGGATTAGCTTCACCGGTATTCCCACTGGTCCAATTAAAAATGCCCCCCCGCGCAATTAAAAGTGACTGTGGGCACTTTCGAAAAAAAAAAAAATCCGACATTCTTTTAACCACTTCATTAGGCCTGTGCATCAAAAACTATGCGATGCTTTCATTTCTTTCAGGAAGGCTACAGACGAATGGGTTTTTAACACCCTTTTAAGATCACAACAAAGGCCATGCTTGACCCAACATATGTAGCAGCATGTTTCCGCTGCCCCCGCACCCCGGTGCGGCTTTCTAGCGGCATCTCCCACTGCCGCTGCCCCGCCTGCAGCCCGGCTGGGCCCGGATCCCCTCCCGCGCTCTCCCGCTGCAGCAGCCGGCTCTGTCACACAGAGGCAGAGGTTAGAGTAGCAGTTAGACAAGGGCCCGCGGAGAAAAGAAACGCACTGGAGTTTTTTTTCTTCTTTCAGCTGAAGTATTTACACGCTTGACGGGCACACCGAGGAATACTCCGGGTTTATAGACAAGAGGTTGTTAACCTGCCACTTCACACCAGTTCTGCTGAGCTGGGGAAATGGATCGGTCTAAATGCATTCCCTTAAAGGCAAAGTCAGGAGAGCAGTGAAGATTAGAGAGCCACAGAACACAATGCTGTGGGAGTTTAAAACTGCCGTGCGCTCATATACGCACACACGCACACCAGGCAAATTCATTAAGCATGAACAGCCTCGATAATGATTATTTCAAGGCCAAATATTTGAACAAATGCACTTTATTTGGCTCTGTGTGTGTGATATCTATAGTTTTCTACATAAGAAGGAAATGCCTTTACAAGATAACTAAAATTTGCCATATCTGTAGTAGTTATGATGTCATAAAAGCGGACTCTGGCTGTATTCATGATTTAGAAAGGCTCTGCGCTCACACAGAGAAGTACCAATGATTCCTTGTAAGCAGCGTTTTATTTAGGTTTTCGGCTGGTGAAAATGTGGGCTTCATTTGCCAAAAACCAACCTGCAGTAAAGCAGTGCTGCAGAATAAATAGCGCAGTGTGAAAAGGAAACAAACAAAGCGACTAAAGTGACACCGGTTACTCGCCAAGCCCTGCAAAAGTCAAACATATAGGCTAAATTTACGCAGGCCTGGCTGAGTGAGGCCAGACGGTGAAGAGGCACTTGAGCTAAAGAGGCAGACAGAGGTCTGTCAAGCATCACTCTTCACCCGCTAGAATAACACTTATTTGTAAATGGGGGATAACCCTGCCATGGCGTATGAATATTTCAAAGATTTGAAGGGTCCCTCTGTGCCAAAACTGTTGGCCAGCACTCAGGCAATCTCTCTCTCTCTTACACACACACACACTCTCACAAAATACGTTTTTCTGCCCCCGAGGTAGGTTGGCAGGGATTATCTTTGTTTAATGAATGGGCTACAAGTATTCATCAACACGGCGAGATTATTGCACAGCCTATAGTCGCATATAACTCCAGCGTGTGTGTGTGAGTGTGAGCGAGAGAAAAAGAGGACAGAGACAGACCTACACACTGCAGCCAATTAAAACGCACTCTCCCCTGCTCTATCCCTCCACATCTGCCTCCTTTTCTCCACCAACGAATGGCGCAGAAAAGAAGGAAGCTCATGAATAGGCGCTCATTGAGATCACAGATGGAGTATGGCTTTCTTTTTGCTAGAAATTTGAGAAACACCATTGTCCCCAATCAAAACTCAATGTGTTCGCCTACAATGGTGTCGGCTTTGAGCTCCGCCGCTTCAATTGGCCTTGTTTTTGAAACTTGAAGTGTTCAGCACAAAGACTTGGCCCTCCTAGATGTCACCGTCGCTTCGCTTCAGTGTGTGAGAGTGTGTGTGTCTATGTGCGCCCAGAAGAGAGAGAGAGAAAACACAATTAATATGAAGCTGTAATTACTCCCCTTCACGCCACTGCACCCATTCAGGACCCCACTGGTCCATTTATTGCTTTATCCCATGTGGCTGATAATCCGAATACCACAGGTTTTTATAAGGCCTCTGTGGTGTTTTAAGGAGACAGATCTGGAGGTATGAGCGAGGGATGCAGTCCTCAGAAAACTGAGCGACAAGAGCGCACAGCAGCGGCCGAGGGATGGTTGACGCACATTTAATTATTCAATTAATATTTAAAATAAATCTATTAGCGCAATGGCCTGTAGGTATGTGCGGGAATTCAATGCCATTAAAAAAAAACAGATCTTCACCAATTATTTACGAGATGCTTTATTAACCTTTTATATAAAACTGCATCTGTATTCACAAGATTTCTATTTGACATTTTCACATTCAGGCGTAAAAATATGTAACTGTTCTTTAAAAAAAAAAAAATCTAATAAGAAGGATATGTTGGTAAATTTAGTTATTTTTGGTTTTGGAGGATAAATTTTTTTTGTTAAGGGACGTTCCGTTTTTTGTTTTTCAAGCGGTTGTACATTTAAACACGTTTAATTAGACCAGAGAGCGCCCCCTGC